GCAACTATTGTTAAAACTTTCCTAGTACTGAGCAAATTTTTTTCCAAGGGTGGCAACGCACTTGTTACTTTTGAGTTGTAGGTGTCCATGGGCGGCGGTAGTCGCTTACCAGCAAGCGACCCGTCTGCTCGTTTGCAACCTTGTACAATAAAAAAAAATGAGAAAGATTTCAGGTTATGCGGCATTAATAGGTATAACACATGGATTTTAATGATTGATTATTGAAAGTCTGATACCTGCAAGGGCAATCTGTTTCGAAACGTTAAGAATCACCTAGCTACAACACATGTGATGAATGCCCGTGTTTGTTTACAGTGTAGAATTCATTAAATTATTTAAGGTCTATTCCCACCTCTTTTATAAATCTTAGTTAAATAAAAACAGTGCAGAAATTTTCGAATAACCTCTTAAAATTAAGCCATAATTTAATTTACCTGGTTTATTAAGAAGTTGGATAGTCATTAGGAGATATTCTAATTAGAAAATTGACATTATTTATGTTACAGTCGCATCTGACCCTGCTTCTTTAATTTCTTTATTATAACTAAATAAATCAGGGTACTAATGTAATGATAGTTGTTTTTAATGGAAATAAATTAAAAAAACTGGCAGCTGCCACGAAAACAATGTGTTTGAAAGAAATGCTATATTGTTGTCCATTCTTTTCAGTATTGTAATCGGTTGTCGGCTACTGCTATGAGTATGACTAATTTCTAAGATGTATGCACCTACATTTATTTCCAAGTTTTCGAAAGCTGCTAAAAAACCGAAGAGCTCATTATTTCTGAAAGAGAGAAATATGTAAAACAGTGGACGTCCTATGGCTATAATGTTATTTTACAACCCAAGTGCTAGATACAAAAAAAAAACGTTTTGTCTATTACTTCAATAGCTTTTTTCACTTACGTCAATTTCGAAATTTGTTTTTTTTTTTACAAACTGTTAAAATTTAACAAATACATAAATACACCTTTATCTTGAATAGATATCGTTTAAGGTACCTGAACAACACGTTATCAATAGCCGGTATCACGTGTTCGCTCAAAGCTAGCCAGGTGGTAATTCGACTACCTGAGTCGCGTCTCACAAATAAAGTGCTCAACATTTCTTTGGTTTTCGTTTCAATGAATAGACAAGAAAAGAACATAGACTTCATAGACAACGATAAAGTTTTAAAAGATATTTTGTGCTATAGTTTTTAGTAGTTTTATAAACATACACTCGCCTACACTTAACATACACTCAAACACCATTTACACAAGATAGGTACCAACATTTAATTACTCATTGTAAAAATTGTAAACTTAGTTGTAAGTACTTGTACTGTTGGATTCGGATGTTGGCGTTAATGGCTACGACACAGTTTATACTACTGTAGCCATTATCGTATAATTATTGTGAAAATGTAACAAGGTTTTGAATAAAGTATTATTATATTATTATTATATATATGGCATTTTAAGTAATATTAACTAGAGACAACTTGGTGGATATTTATTTCACTAGGTATATTTTTACTGTATTTTACCTACTCATATCCAGTATTAGTTGAATTGTCATTGTTAAACTTTCCCTCCTATGACAAGTCCAAACATATACTGGACATGTTGGTATATACCACGATATGCCTTCACAATCCAGGAAGAGAACCAGGGATTATTATCTGTCCCTTCAATAATCAGACCCTTAGTATGTATGTATGTGTGTATATATATATATATGTATATGTATTTATACCTATAATATATTTTACTATCCTAATTAATGTCGGTATTTGTGTAATTTATATGCCTTCTGTGTTGATTCCTAAGTACGCACGACTGTGGCCTTACGTTTCTCTGTTGTCCTCTATTCGCTCAAAGTTTGCTGGAAGAAAACTCAGTTTTGGGTTAAGCTTGCCTTTGTACATGACATTTCCTTGTTACTTACATATATGTATGTGTTCAGTGTGTACAATAAAGAATAAATGAAATTAAATTAAACTAGGTACTTGAAAATTGTACCAAATCATTTTTACTTATAGTTTACCATGATATCGTATTGTGTACATAATTGTACACAAAATATTTTCCTTATTGGCTCTGATTTATCTGGACTATTGACAAACCTTGAAATTGTTTATAGATACTTGATACTAATGCGTAATAAATATTTTTTCATATGAAAACATTTTCGTCCCAGATATCTAGCGGCCACCCACTCGACGAACATAACCCTCTTCTTATCCTCATCTTCTGGCGCAGTCGTATTATGATTATTTACAATTAAATTTTACGTTTTTTCCACGCCATATATAGTAAAATAGTATCGTATTAATTGCGTTTAAATCAACTAACAACAACAACAATCAATTTAAACTATAAATAGGTTATTAAACACTAAGTAATATATATTTGTGTATACAAACCAGTCTGAAGTTATTTACATTATCAATCTATTAGAACTTTAACATTTGAATTTTTAATTTCCTGTAACTAACATAGTCAAGCGACTGCCTGAAACACAGGTCTCACACATAGCTCAGGCCGTTTGCCAATGCAACCAAGACTTTATTCTGATTCTGCAAATAAATATATTAATTTTTTATTTTATTTTAATTTAACTTAGAGCGATTCATTTGTTTTTCTTTGTATTGTATATAATAAGTATGCTATCCATACGTCGTAAGACATCGAACTTGATGACTTGTTGGGATTTAGTTATTTATGAAAATGTTGTAAAACTTGAAGTGAATCACAAGTTACATGCGTGTAGGATAGCTGTTTCACCGCTCTATCAATGCGGAACACTTGTGACTGAATATATAAAAAAAAAAATTATCTCGTGGTATACCTACATATAACTATTATTGATTTACAAAAAGTTCTTAACTGTATCGAATACTCTTGTATCGATATATCAATATCACAGCTATTTGCGACATGCTTTTGTACCATTATTTAAATATTAAAATAAATATATATATATATATATATATATATATATAAATCAATGAATTGAAATATTGCACCATATCGTGCATCCCTATGTCTGAGAGTTATTTTGTCCGTACCTTATCTTTACTAGTATTATAATGCTAGTATCTGTTGGTATATTTTTTCTGTTTGTTTGGTTGAACGTGCTAATCTCAGAAACTACTGGTTCGAATTGAAAAATATTTTAGTGTTGGATAGACCGTTTACCGCAGAAGGCATAGACTGTATAACATCGCGCTACGACCAATGAGAGCGGAGCATCAATGAAAAATGTTGCAAAAACGGAGAAAAATTATTCCTTTTTAGAGATGTAGACAAAGTAGCGCAGGTCAGCTGGCTATGAAGCATTAGTAGCTTATTATAAAGTTACATTAATAATTTAAAGTAATTGCTTTACTTTAAGAAGTATTTTCAATTTAAGTAAATTAATTCCATATCGATACTATAATTTTCTTACGTAACTAATGTTAGTCTTTCAATAAAATTGAAGGTTACAGGTTAGGTTTGTCATTTCCGGATCCATTATTTACATTTTTTTTTTTTTTTTTTTAATAATAATAATAATATTTATTGTTCACAATCAAAGTTAACAAACATAATTTCATGGTTGTTATATTACAATAATGACAAATAATGCACTGCTGATACTTAAAAAGGAAACCCTGTGCTATAAGTACCAGCGACTCTTTATAGCGCAGTTTGGTAATACAATACTTCCACAGACAGAGAATTTTACCGCTGAACATTAGAAGCAAATTCTGTGGCCACAACCGTTGAATAAATACTATTAAAACTAATTGGTTATTGAAATAAAATGAAATATTAATTAAAGTAAACCTAGTATCTTATAAGTTATGAGAATCAGTGTTCAGGGAGGCTATTGCAAATGGCAGTGAGTGTACGTGAGTGAGTGTACGTGAGTGATATTTCGATAACTAAGTATGGCGTAAAGTAACGCAATAATCGTTAGACATCTCCCCTACTTATTGGGTAATACTTTTTTTGGTCTTGTAAAAGGATTTGCGATTTCAAGTATATAATACAAAATAATCCATCAATTCTGATGAAAGAATATATATATTATAAGCCAGAGGCGGTAACTTGACTGCACGGATGGCGTAGTGGTTTAAGCGGTCGCCACGCCGCTTCCTACTACGCCGAGTGTTGTGGGTTCAAACCCCACATGGGACGACACTTTGTGTGATCCACAAATTGTTGTTCTGAGTCTGGGTGTTCTTTGTGTCCGTTTCATGTATGTTTGTAAAGTCCCCCGCGACACAGGATTTATTCCTAATGCGGGAGTTGTCTTTTAAAAAAAAAAAAAAAAAAAAAAAAAAAAAAAAAAAAAAAAAAAAAAAATCATACTCACATACCCAGGTTCCTATAAGTTTTCTAAAGTAACCTTTGGGTCATTTTTTATTTTGCCTCATTTTGAATAAATTTTGAATAAAAAAGTAAGATAAAATATACCGTTGTTGTTACGTTTGAAATAGAAGCAAGAATCATTTAAATATAGATTGTTAAGCAAGAGTAAAAAAAAAAAGTTTAAATTAATAATTTTTAAAACACTTGAAAGGTTACATGCAGGGCCATCTTACATCGTCTTTGAAAAATTACGGAAGAAATCATTTATTGTAGGTGTTTCGAATTGACAATATGTATACACATCGAATAAATGAATACAATATAAATAAATAAATAAAACAGCCAAAAGCATAAGAAATTTGTCACCGTTATTGTTGCGTTTGAAATAGAAGCAAGGAACAATAATTTAAATATAAATTGTTGAATAAAAAGTAAAGAAGTTTAAAATAATAATTTTGAAGTCACTTGGAATGTTACATGTAGCGCCATCTTACATCATCTTTAAAAATATATTGTAGGTGTTTCGAATTGATGATATACACTTCAATATATTTATGTATATTCGAATCAATTATTTCATTTTCAGCTGAGATTACGAAGTTCCTTGTAGATCTATATTTTTCTGAATCGTTTAAACTTTTATAAACCTATATTGACAAAATGTTATGTACGGTGAAAAAATGGCAACACAGTGATAAAGGACTAGTGTCAACTGTCAACAAAAAACTGACAGTAGTTGTCAAAATGGCACGTCAGCAGCAAGATGTTGATGAACTGTTCGATGTTAAAAATGCATTCTATGTTGGAAATTACCAACAAGCAATCAATGAAGCTCAGGGAGTATCTGTAAGTTTATGTTCTATATTTATAATTTCAATCCTAGTGTCAGTTTGTGTGTGTTTTCCAACACCTTGCAACCGGTGACGTGCCTATCATGTATTCGTCATTATTTTACTCTAATGATGATAATTTGTGTTAAAAATACATATTTTGAGTGTATAAAGGTGATTACTTCTTTTTACAGCCATCTACACCATTAATAGCACTGCAGCGAGATGCTTTTCTATACCGTTCGTACATCGCCCAAGGCAACTACAGGATTGTGTTGCAAGAACTTAAAACTGCTGATCCTATGCTCCAGCCACTCAAGATTCTGGTGGACTATCTGTCTCCGGATGCTAACAAACCGGCCATTGTAGCAGATGTTGATGCCAGAGTGAGTTTGTTTAGACATACTAAACAGAAGTAAAGTAAAACAAATACTGCTTAATGTTTTCGTATAGGTGTCGCTTTATTAAAAAAAAAAGAGGATTGAGAGGCCCAAGTGTAAGTTAATTACACATTTACTCTATTGTCACTGAAATCGCAACACCGATCGCACTCACTGTCAAAAGCGAGTTGTTGAGAAATAAACTAGCACTTGGCCCTCTGATAGTATTATATGCTTAGTACTAAGTCTTAGTCCAACCCGTCTGGCCAGCGTGGTATAGTAGGCCAAAACCTCCTTTCTAAGGAGAGGCCTATGTCCAGCAGTGGACTAGTATAGGCTGTTGATGATGATGATGACTAAGTCTTATATGCAGCACATGAGCAATGTTTATTTTAGGGGCATAACGGGGCAAACAAACAGACGGGTCATCTTTTGGTAACTGACTACCGCCTATACCTGACTTATGATTTGAGGGCACACATCCTGTAGTGCCCTTATTCCTTTGAGTATTTACAATCTACTCATATGGACAATTTTTCAGATCAGTAGCTCTAGGATAAATTAAACTGATGTAATAATTGGCCACGTTGCAGGTTGCTAAAGGTACAGAGTTGGTGAATGAAATATTCCTGATTGTGGCAGCGACAATCTACTATCATGAGGAAAACTATGAAGCAGCCCTCAAGTATGTTAACCACATTCTATAACTCCAATATAATTATATATTTGATATCGGTAAAATTAAAAACTTTGTCACTGGTATTTATAAAAATAAATAATAAAAATAATACCTTCACACATTACATACACAGACTTTATCAAAAGTGGAGTATCCCATTTTCACACTACAATAATAACGGACACAAAGAACTCACATCACACAAAGTGTCGTCCCATGTGGGGATCGGACCCACAACACTCACATACTAGTAAGAGGCATAGCTATCGCTTAAACCATCCGTGCAAATAAATCATCAGCATTACACATGCAAGATTTAATTATGTGGAAAAAAACTATACATAGTTAATCAAAAAGGAGCCAACATGTCAATATTAACATTTACATTTATTAAATAAAAACAATAAAAATTCTGTACCACTATTACAAAATATAGCAATATAAAAGTCCTTTTATCTAACCGAGAAAAGCAATATAATAAATTACTCATTTCTTTTAAACCTGCAGCTATATAGTATACTAGCTGGCACCCGCGACTTCGTTCGCGTGGAATTTTAAAAGCGCTGCCTTAGTGGTGTAGGACGGTACGCGACTGCAGTCCTAGATGCCACTGATTCGATTCCCGGACCGGGCAAATTTCAATCAATCAAAAAAAATGTTTTTCTGATTTTTCTAAGTTACTCCTTATATAGACAGTAACCTTGTAGTAAAATATCAAAATCGATACAGCAGTTTTAAAGTTTATCCAGAACAAACAGAAAGACGGACAAAAAATATTTAAACTGACTTTGGGCATAGGTATCATGCAAATAAACATGTGAGCATGAAAAAACCTTATTGTTTTGACATTACAAACAAAAACTTCAATTTTATTAATTTGTATAGATTAGCCTAACATGACACATAAAAGACAACACAAAAAAATAATTATAGTACTATTACATTTTTGTACTATACACATATCGTGTTTATTCTAATTTGAAAAACTCTCGTTTCACCTCATTATAATAAGTTTTAAAAACACCTCTTTTTAAAATTAATTTTGGGAACAATAAAATTTACAACAAGTGATAAAAATTGTAAAAAAATTAGTAAAAATACATACATGGTTATTTTTCAGAATCCTCCACGATACGGAATCGCTAGAACTCCGCGCCTTCACTCTTCAATGTCTACTTGCTATGAACAGACCAGACTTGGCGCGGAAGCAGCTCAAAGCTCTGCAAGATATTGAGGATGACAGCACGCTGACACAGCTGGCACAAGCCTGGTTGAATTTATCTCAGGTACTGCTTAAAAATATTGTTGAATTATAAGGCTACACCCAATATCTTCAGTGCAACAGCTCTTGGGGACATTATTTTTCCCCTATTGCAAACTGTCCATGTAGTGACAGATTAAGAATAGGGAATGTCACTACCTAAATTCACCCCGTGGGTGTCGAGCCAACTAAGGGCACAAAACAACGCAGGACACCAGCACTGCAAAAAGTCCAACCCGTCTGGCGAGTGGGACAAAACCTCCTTTCTAAGGAGAGGCCTATATCCAGCAGTGGACTATTAAAGGCTGTTGATGTGATGATGTGATGATGATTGCAAAATATGAGGTGAACTTGCATGAAAAGAGTTCCATATAAATAATATACACGCTAATGTAAGTTTATATATACTATATTTATGTTATTCTAAGATCAAAGGCTTTTTTATTTTTAAAGTTTCCGTCTTTTTTTATTTTGCCATTAGTAGTTTCTTGGTTAAAGATTATTATTATTGTATTATGGACGAGCAGCAATCTATGTCCACGTTACTGCACTGGAGTAAGTTTGTGGTGTTAAAGATGGAGGAATATTTACACCATTGCATGTGATTTGACACAGTGCTATCTATTTTATAAGTTGACCCATGTTAAAAAAAAAAAACAGTTTTTTAATCTGAACTTCTGTGTTTGGGAAATGTATGGAATGGATATATACCAAACTAGCTGACCCGCGCAACTTCGTCTGCGTCTCTCAATAGTAATAAATTTTCTCCGTTTTTGAAACATTCTTCATTGGTGCTCCTATTGGTCTTAGCGTGATGATATATAGCCTATAGCCTTCCTCGATAAATGGGCTATCTAACACTGAAAGAATTTTTCAAATCGGACCAGTAGTTCCTGAGATTAGCGCGTTCAAACAAACAAACTCTTCAGCTTTATAATATTAGTATAGATTTCAATGTTACCCATACTTATATTATAAATTTAAGAGTGAGTTTGTTTGTTACGTTTTCACGTCTAATCCACTTAACCGATTTTAAAACTTCTTTCACCAATGGAAAGCTATGTTATTAGCGAATAACATAGGCAACTTCTTACCACGATAACGGACATATACGCGTGCGGAGCCACGTGGAAAAGATAGTTGGTTTAATAGGTTTGAAGCAAATTTTCTGTAACGTTGACACGGGCGTATGTATTTATTGCATCTTATTTTTGCTTGAAAAAACTACAGTAATATTAAAAAGTGTGTGTTAAAGTGTTAATGTATATTTTATTACTCGTTCACAGGGCGGGCCAGGAGTCCAAGACGCTCACTACAGTATTATGGAGTTGTCAGAGCGGCTGGGCGCGTTGGGGGCAGGTCCCGCGGCCGTGGGCGCTGCTGCTGCAGCTTCCAGAGGTTCGAACACAAGTAACATGTTAAACAAATGGAGTGTGATCATCGTCATCATCAGCCCATCACAGTCCACTGCTAGACATAGGCCTCTCCCATTGCACGCCACTTAGATCGATTTTGGGCTTCTCGCATCCAGCTCCTGCCAGCCATCTTGCGCAAATCGTCACTTCACCTGGCCTGTGGGTGTCCTATACTACGTTTACCGAGACACGGTTTCCACTCAAGAACTCGTTTTCCCCAACGGTTGTCGGTTCTGCGGCTAATATGGCCAGCCCACTGCCACTTCAGCTTGCTTAACCAGTAGGCTATGTCGTTGACCTTGGTTCTCTACCGGATCTGATGCGAGTGATATTACTGCTCAAGAATTGGAACAAAATTTGACTAGAAACATCTCTTATTAAAAATGCCTGTTATTTTTCCCCCGTGTTGTGGGGACTTTACAGACATACATGAAACAGATACAAAGAACAACTTTCTTTTGCTTCTGTCGTTTTGTAAGTTGTGATTCATTATATTATTATAGCGTATTTGTCATATTTATGTTCATAGATTACTATTAAAAACTAGACTGTTTTTTTAATTAAAAGAAATAGTTATTCATTTAAATACAAAGGTTTTTGGACTATAACAGTTCAATACATATAAAACATACACCATGTGTGTGGAGAACTGATAAAAGATGATGAAACGCATAAACGGTAGTCATTTTTCATTTTATTTAAAAATGTTTACACCAAAACGCGTATTTGTAGATCTTTTATCCCAAAACACAGAGGTCACACTTTGATGTCACAAGTTTTATTAATAATATATAATATAACATAATAATATATAATTATAATATAATAATATATATTAATAATATAGCTACAAACAAAGCGTGTGTGTTCCCCAGGCATGTGGGAGGAGGCGGAGCAGATGCTGAGCGAGGCGCAGGCGCGCGCCCCGCAGCAGCCCGACCTGCTGCTGGGGCTCGCCGTCACCGCCGCGCACAGCGGCAAGCCGCCTGAGGTACTGCACTGCGTATACCCTACAATGTTCATTCAATGTACAACCCACACTCGAGTCTTTGATCCCCCAAGGGGTAGATAAGGTCTATTTAAACGCCCACTTTGGCCGACCAGAATTTCAGTCTCATTGACGTAATAGGAAACACCTTTATTGCCGCTAAACCCTCACAAAAAATGCTAAATAAACGTACTTATATTTTTTTTAAATATACATATACTATAAACTAGCTGCTACCAGCGCCTTCGTTCGCATATAATTTGAAAAGCTTTGCCTTAGTGGTGTAGTCCATGAGACCTCGGATTTTTATAGGGTTTTTCTGAGAGGAAAATTAGCCTAAGTTACTCCTTATATAGACAGCTACCTAGTAGTAGAATATTATCAAAATCGGTCCTGCCGTTTTGATGATTACTTAAACCGGCTTTAAGGCATACGTATCGTGCAAGTAACCGTGTAAGCATGAAAAATAAACCCATTATTTTAACATTACAAACAAACACTTCATTTTTTTATTTGTATAAAGACAGTACAGAAAAATGATTGTGACACAATGTTTGTTCTGGGTGGAAATCGAACTTACTACCTCTGGCTTAGCTTTATAACCACTCGACCAAGCAGCCAGTCACCAGTTTTTTTTTTTAAAGACGACAACTCCCGCTTTAGGAATATATCCTGTGTCGCGGGGGACTTTACAAAAATACATGAAACGGACACAAAGAACACCCAGACTCAGAACAACAATTTGTGGATCATACAAAGTGTTGTCCCATGTGGGGATCGGACCCAAAACACTCAGCGTAGTAATGAGCGGCTTGGCGACCGCTTAATCCACTACGCCATCCTTGCAGTCAATTGTTATGAGTCTGGGTGTTCTTTGTGTCCGTTTCGTGTATGTTTGTAAAGTCCCCCGCGACACAGGATATGTTAGTGTTTTATTATTATTCATATTCTTTATCTAATATACGAGTAGTGTTTATTATATTATTATAATATTTTATCTTCTTCTATTGTATAAATCTGACCAAATATTTCATTTACCGTGTGTGTAAACCTAGTATTACCTATTGGCAACTAATTTACTCTCATGATTGTTTCAGGTCTTCAACCGCTACATAGCACAACTCCTCGACAGTCACCCCGAACATCCCTTCACGAAGGACTACCAAACAAAGACCAACGAGTTCAAGCGCCTCGCCGCTCAGTACCAGCCCTCCGTGTCGAGTTAAACTTTTTTGTAATAAATATATTTGGATTATTATATTATAGCAAATATCTGCAATAAAAGAAGTATATATAATATGTATATGTGGTTTTATTTTACGTTACCTTTTAGTCCTTAATAACGGACATACTGGCACACATCAAAACAATGTTGTGGTATATTTAATAGTGCCATTGTATCTACCTGTGAATTGCAAAAGAGTGGCCATGAGTTTGTTTGCCCTTTCTTCTCATGAGGCTCAACCCATTGGAAACGGGCGGTTGTAGATCGTCACAGGCATATCATAGATTTTGTATGGGTTTGATGTTTGTTAAATTTATTTGCTTACTATTTGACAAAACAGAGATTGTTGCTTTTGTGTGTGTTGATCTATGACTTTAGTCAACAAAAAAGACGATTTCAAAACATTTAAAAAAATTTATGAAATAAGAGAGTGAGTTCGTTGTCCGTGTGATGGCGTATTAAGAATACGTGTTGTCCTATTCATTCCGTGAGTGTCGTAAGCGCTGACTAAGGGAACAAACTACCAGGACAACAGCACTGCAAAGAGCAGGAAAACTTGAAACAAACCGACCCGTCTGGATAGCGTTGTATAGTAGGCCAAAACCTTTAAGGCGAGGCCTATGTGAACTATTAAAGGCTGTTGATGCGATGTGATGGATGTATTTAGAAATGTAAAAGTATGTTTATCAACAGTCTGGGCTGGCTGGACATAGGCCTTTTTAGGACATAGGTTTTGGGGTACTATACCACGCTGGGTTGGTATAGACTAGGGTTTCTTACAAGTTTTACTTTTTTTTCAGTGCTGTTGTTCTGCGTAGTTTTCTTCCTTAATGGGCTCTTATGACACCCACGGAATAAAAACTACTCCGTATTCTTAATCCGTCACCACACGGAATGCGTACATACTTAGATAAATTACACCCCGACAGATCAAAATGATCGTGTTCATCACACATTATTTGTCCTGGATGGGAATCGAATTTACGACTTCGGGCTTAGCAATCAGGGTTGCTACCACTAGATCAACAGGATAGTCAAACATTTAAATAAAACAAAAGATGTAAAAAATAATCTTTATCCTCATGTGACCCTAGTAGAAGCTGTAATCATAATCATCTGTTTCTTCTCCGTCGTCCTCAGCACTCGTTATGTTCCCCAGTATATGGTATTGCCGAAGTTTCTCCAAGGTCACTAAATCGTCTTTCAACCCTAGTGGCAGATCTGAACTATCGGGTTCTCCCTTGACCAAATTCCAGTCTGTAGTAGACTCGTGTAGTATTTCGCCACTTTGACCTGCAACCAAAGTTTATCACTTGATCAAATGCATTTTTGAACAACAAACAAAAAAATGTATTTTTGTTTTCACATGGGAAAGAACCATTGAACTCGCGACACTGTTACCGTTACCGACACGTCTGTATATATCGAAGTGAACATTTCTTTAGGGCGGGCATTGGGCATTTTTTGAGATGAGAAAAAACAATTGAACTCGCGACACTGTTACGGTTACCGTTAACGACACCTCTGTACAATAAGCATTATAGGTTTTTACTTCTGTCGGCACTCCCGGAGTGCCACTGTTTTCTTTTTTTTATGTTGTAGGGGGCAAACGAGCAGACACCTGATGGCAAGTGACTACCACTGCCTGCAACTCAAGGGTCACAAGCGCGTTGCAGCCGTTAAAATCTCCTCAGAATCAAGAGAACTTACACAACCTTAGAATAAAAGTGAATATTCAAAATTCCTGCCTACTTTAAAACTCCATAACGGACAAGAGGCAAAATTATGAGTAAGAAAGAGACAACGTATCATTCAACGATATACCATTTGTCACTTTATTACGTCATTCACGTATGCATTTCTTTCGTAAAGACTTTTTTGCTTTGTATTGGTTTAAGTAAGGTCACTTTCATTCTGAGGATGCTGTACATAGGTCAGGGGGAAGAGTAAACAGAAATACGTAAAAATAATTAAATAATTAGTTGGTTTTCAAATAAAACTAATTTTTATACCTCCACAAAACAAAAAACGGCCTGAGGGGTCTAGGAACCCCGGTCGGAACGAAGTTCCTTTCGCTTTTTGCTTTATATGAAAAGAGCGGTCGACGCGCTGATTGAAGTGTCAGAAAAAAGTCTTGTTACACATTTTTCGGTCTCGCTCCCATCCGTTCAGAGCGTGTAACGCACGATAGAGAACTTCGTTCCAAAAACAAAATGATATAGAGGCAGCCCTAGCAGCTTCAAAGAAGATAAATAATAAGTACAGTATGACACCTACGAGTCAATGATAAAACTTCACTGCCACTTGTATATATTAGCTTTAGTTTTAATTAAGTTGATAATAAATGATTTGCGTGTGGTTTGTGACAATGCAAACGCATTTATACTAATACATAAAATCAAAACACTAGGTAGGGATTGGGTAACAGTGGATAATTTTTTTTTTTAATGGTGCTACTCAGAAGTTAATGGCCAAATGATAAATCTCTGAAAGTAAATCATAAGGTGGGTATCTAATCTTTAAAGAAAATGGCATTTAGTACCGTGAATTACATAAACTTGCGCGTTATAACCACTTTAAACAAAAATGGGAAATGAACCACTGCGACCCGGGGTTGGGTCACTTTGGATCAAAGCATGGGTGACAATGAATCGACTGGGGTACACTGGATCTATACAAAAAAATACAGTAAAAGACAATAAGTTTCATGTTAATCCTCATTTATTTCTACGCATTGACAGTATTTTATTACGTAAAACTAATCAGTCTTGTAAAAAGTTATGAATTGTCACTTTAATGAACTTAAATATAGGTGACCTTTCTGGGACTCAATCAACTGCATATATTAAGTTTTAAATACACAATCTTCCAGTGTAGTTGCCATATAACATTTTAATTGGAACATTGTTAACAAATCAACAATTATGATTGAAGGCGTAAGTGAATGCAGGTGATATGTCATATTTTCAGATTTTTAAATTTTTTGAGTATATGAATGAGATAGGTCGATACAAATGACTTCAGACCTTAAAATAGTCTTAAAGAAAAAAGTCTGGACTATTTTAAGGTCTGAAGTCATTTGTATCGACATATCACCTTCATATATGCAAAAAATGACCAAATCTGAAAATGCGACATATCACCTTCATCCACTTATGTCTTTAATTATAAAAACAAAAACATTTACTTCCATAGTAATCATTTAAAGTGAAGCTATGAATAAACGAAAATATAATCACTTTGTGCTCTGAGAACAAACATAAAATTCCCTTACCATAAAATTAAAGTTTTGATAAATTTTTTATCAATAACGTGTTTACTTTGAAATTGTTAAAATTAACGTAAATTTAATATAGAAAAATCAATATCAAAGTGGTACATATATTGTTTTCTCTTTGTATTACCAGAACAGAAAAATTTTGTTTTGGTAAAATCATCTTAATATCCGGTAGTGCAACCGTGGCAATATCCGGCATGTTTGGCATGTGAAAATTATTGGGTATTTTATCTGATCTTCTTAGAAAAGACACCTCAGTGTCATTTTCCTGATTTCCAATAACTTTTGCCACATAATAAATTCGTTTTTCTTTTACTTGAAATTCAACAATCATAAAATCGCCTTCCTTTGGCAAACTTCTAGATGCAGGAAAATTGTTGGGATCCACCGACTCATAATCATCTTCAAATATCGGTTCCTCTTCAGAATAAACACTTATTTGATCTTCACTTTCGCTGGAACTATCTTGTAAAGTTTTTCTTTTCTTTGTTTTTACAATTGCCTTTATTTGTTTGCGTTTCTTTTCTTCTCCTCTTATTTCTATTTCATGTTTATTAGGTGTGTCATTTGCAATCATTGATTTACCTTTACGTCTTAGTGCTCTTCCCTCTTTACGTGGCCCTGCTTTAGGTAGCCCTCGAAATTGGAATGGACTCAGGAATTTCTTATTAACATTTGCAGAAGAATTCTTCAGTGTGAAGTCCGATAAGAGTCTTCCTTACCCGATTGCGATGCATTTTTACCTACAAAAAAATACGAATGTAATTCAGCTTCACGGGTTACAATGGATCAGCAGTCCACTGTGACCCAAAACGAAATGATTCACTGTGACCCATTGGACTTTATGAAAAAAACAATATAACAAAAAAAAAACTACCTATCTCAATGACAAAACAACATGATTTACAATAAATTTAGGAAATAACAAACGTACGACAAAATACAAACCTTCATATTTCTTCTATCCCTAGAAATAAACCAAAATTTAAAATCACGTGAAAAAATAGTTTCGTTACTTACCTACTAAGCAGAGTGGACAGCGCGTGTACCCGCATGGCTACCGCGACGGCGACTAGTACGGAGGAGAGGGGCATGGACGAGCAATAACAACGCGTTTGTTTGTGTTTGCAAGTGCAACACATATTGAGTTTTACTGAATTATCCACTGTACCCCGCGATTCACTGTGACCCAATCTCCCCTACGCATTCAGAATTAAGCTTCAAAGAAAAAACCCATACATACAACGCAAGGCAACGGAAAAAACTAGAAATAACTAAGCCTAGAACCAACTATGGTAAGAAAAATATATTATATGAAGGTGTGAAACTTTATAATGAAATACCTGATGATATTACTAAAAGTGATAGCTTGTTTAAATTTAAAAAAGTTTACATTAGGAAAAAGTACTGACACCAATGAAGTTGTCTTTATATCTTTAGTTTTATATTACTGTAATAGTGTATTGAGATCACAGGGATACTTAACTAATTTATTGTGTTGTTACATTTTCTCATTATGTAAGTGAACTGTTTTGTTCTTTTATGAGAAATAAATGTCTTTAAACCGAATTTACTATTATGATATCATTCTGTAATATTGATATGTTACAGGACACGGATATTTCGACAATAGACGGTACCTACGAGTAATGAGTGGGTACGCGACCCAGACTTTCTTGTTTATTTACAATATAGTACATCCGTATAAACAATATTTATTTATTTATTGCCATACCTACATCTATTTTTAACCGACTTCAAAAAAAGGAGGAGGTTCTAAATTCGATTGTATTTTTACAGGTTATTACCAAATAAAAAAGATTGGCAACCAAGCATCATCATCATCATCACCAGCCTTAATAAGCAACCTTTAATAGCCCACTGCTGGAGTTGGACGGGTTGGTACAGGGTTTGCTTCTAGTTTTCCTTCTCTTTTCAAGGCTGTTGCCCCGCGTGGTGTACTCTCTTAGGCGCCTCTTGTGTGTCGTACCCACGGGATGAATAGGGGTGGTGACACTCCGTATTTTTAATCCGTCACCAAACGGCAACTCATATACTAACAAAAATGCAGGTAACAAAAAGGAACTTAATCATACACTACACAATACTCTATAACTTATAAGCAACTCGTATGAATACGATCAGGGCACATAAAAAAATAACAACTTTCTTTGATATGGTGTTGAGTGCCCGCAGCGCCCTCATGGGCGGCGGCGGCGCTCACTAATATTTTACAATCTCTTTTTTAAGCCACCTCTACAGCCTAAAGTAAGTAATTCGCTACTATGCGATGTTTACTTTTATCTTAACTTTTGAAAATGAAGAATTCAGTATCAGTATATTGACTACGCGCAATCTAAACTCACGCATGTTTTTTACACCCGACGCAAAAGCGATGAGGTGTTATATGTTTGACGTGTCTGTCTATGGCACCGTAGCTCCCGAACGGATGAACCGATTTTGGATTTTGTTTTTTTTTGTTTGAATGGTGAATTAGTCTGGAGTGTTCTAAGCTATCTTTGATGACAATCCAAGATAGCAGCCGCTGCAAAATGGCGGGTTATATATTTTTTCACAACTCCCTCAATATGCGTATCAAATGAAAGAGCTTGACTAACAGAATACTATACACTATAACAAATTTCAAATCCAAGATGTGTGTCGGGGATATTTTAAATTTTTAATTTATAGGTACTAGTTAAAAACTAAGATTGCTACTATAGTTAGTATTTTGAAACTTCTACAGGAACATGAAATTAATTACTTTTATTAGTCCCAACATATTTATACGATAATATTAATTTTAAATCTACTAACAAACACCAAAATCTGGTTGCCTGGAAGACAAAAATGTTGCGATAAAGTCACCTACTGTAAAGATAAAGATATTATTAATTTACAGAACATGTACACACAAAGAAAACAAAACACACACATATTGGTGGACACACGTCCACCAATATGTGTGTGTTTTGTTTTCTTTGGTGTACAGTAAAGAGTATTTATAATTTATCATTACCATCGTCATCCTTTTCAAGTATGTATCAACTAACCGTTAGGCGTGATATCCACATGTCCCTCTATCGGCGGTGCGGTGAACGCTTCCAGCTCCTGCTCCGTCTTGCTCTCCTTGTCTAGTTTTTCCTGTTTGCGTTGCCGTCGCCATGCGTTTTGCAAGTTGAATCTTTCTGGCCTGAATCATGCACGAAAGTAAACTGAATATCCAGGTTATATTTTGATTTTGCAACTAACTTAATAACATCAAGTAATATAATCACTTTTTCTCGCGATAATCGACATACACGTCTGTGGAGCGACGGGCAAAAGCTATTTGTTAATATTACATGACCCTGAACTATTGCTTCCATCCATTCAAAAAATCTGTACTCTTAAGCGATAACCTTTTCCAGTAGGAAATAGTAATTGTTAATCTTGTATTTCAGCTAAAAGTAAGATATTTTTATGAGTTTCGCAAGTAGCTAAATTAACAACTTTGAGTACCAGTAGAACTTGACTGTACGGATGGCGTAGTGGTTTAAGCGGTCGCCACGCCGCTCACTACTACGCTGAGTGTTGTCGGTCCGATCCCCACATGGGACGACACTTTGTGTGATTCACAAATTGTTGTTCTGAGTCTGGGTGTTGTTTGTGTCCGTTTCATGTATGTTTGTAAAGTCCCCCGCGACACAGGATTTCTTCCTAGTGCGGGAGTTGTCTTTTTAAGATATTTTTATGAGTTGCGCACATATGTAAATTAACAATTTTGAGTACCAGTTGAACTACCTCACAAGAATCACGTCAATTGACACAAAAATATTAGATTTATTGCCGTATACTTAAAAATGAGACAAAGCATTTATCTGTGAACCTCATACTTTTTTGATTGATTGATCCTAATCTGTTTATTACTTATCTTAGTTCTAAAACCGAGACAACGGGAACAAACAACCTAATCTACTTATCTTATCTGTTCTCCTAGTAACCTCACTTTAAGTATTAATTAAGCCCTATTATGGTTTGCTTATGGCTTCATGGTATCTGTACTAAATGACGCAATATTGGGAACTCATCATTTAATAATAACTTTTCACAACTCACACACGGTCTTCTGATCCGAAACTAGGCAGAGCCTGTGCTATGGTAACCAGACTGCTGATAAACATACTTATATATTTCTAAATACATTTACATTTTAGATAAATTACACTCAGACACAGAAGACAATGATCGTGCTCATGGCACAATAATTTGCCCTGTGTCGGAATTGAACCCACGATCTCCGACTTAGCAGTAAGGGTCATAACCACTAGACCAACACAACAGGCCTGTCGATTCACGAAGCTATATTCAATATTACTGAGAACGGTCTTTATTTTCCCAAAGTTTTCTAATTATATTGAAATTTTCTTCTTCATCTAATGATTTGGAATTTTCACCATCTTGTATTCTAGAAATGTTTCGTTTCCACTTACCGTTCCCCGTCTTTATAAACTTTGGCTTCTATATTTTGGATATCATGTCTCAAGTCTGCTATCATGAGGAGCATCAGATCTAAGGAGCCTTTGGGTCCACGCGGTCCACGTGGTCCTCTTGGTCCGCTGTCACCTTTCGGACCTTCCATACCCGGAGGCCCTGCAGGACCCTGAAATATGATGATCCTGAGATATGTTTTATTCAATTCTATCACTTACTAAAATATAACCTAATTTCACACTAACCCTAGGTCCTCTCTCACATCGACAGTAGCCCCCTTCTAAGGGTGCTGTTGAATCTAAAACCTTGTACGCGTAGGAGCCTTCAGCAAAACGATCACCTCCTGAAATTGAACAATGTTTGTCATCTGCCTCGAACTCTCAAAGTTGAGAAAATCTTAAATAGTAGGGGTCCTAAGAGGTTACTGTTTTTGCGTCATAGCACCTACCTCCTACCTTCTGTATTCACATGATCCCCTAGTATTAGGTGAGGTTAAATATTCTTATATCTTCATTAACGTAATGTGTCAGCACTTTGACTTGTGTAGATAATAAAAGTCAGTCAGTCACCTCATACAACAAATATTGCTATGATATTATCTTGTGTTGCAATCAAGATTATGTCTACGGTTTAGCAAGGGCTAAAATATTTGAGGAAATTCCCAAAGCTTGATCTTAATCTCTTGATTACTGTACACTTTGAAGTACTAAGAGTACTTGGTATTATCAATTTTATAGAGCTGGTACCTATCAGACATTAATATCTCTGACACAGTCTGTTGGCAAAGGTGTGTAATCGATTTTTTTAAAAGCTTCTGGAAACACTCAATAGTTTAAGAAAAAAATCACCAATATTTGTAACTGATGAGGCTAATATTTCATGACATTTTAGAAGTACTTGAGTCGAGATATCATTTATACTTGTAGCACAATCTATGCATAGTTGTAAATAACAGCTTTGACTTCTTTACTGCTTATTTTTAGGATGACCAGGGCATTTATTTAGTTGTATGACGTAATAGTTATAGAAAACTGTAGAAGACGGAGATTAAAAGGTGAGTTGGGATTTTTAGAAGGATTGGTCGCTGTGCCGATCTTTTCAGCTGAGTCCCTGTCATCGTTTTTCAAATTTCTCAAAATTTTAAATCATCGCAATGTCATTTTTTTTAAATAAAGCTCCGTAGTGAGAGGATAGCTTTTTTAAATACTCTTTCTTTTATATTGGAATCTAGACTTCAACAAGTTAAATAGAAATTCTAGTTTCCTTTGTTAATAATCGTCGATAGAGCTCTTGAAGTAAATGGACGTAAGTTCACGTTACGTTACGTTAGTTTTTTAATAATAATAGTACAGACATAATTTAAACCAAAAGCTTGCTTCATAAATACCATCTTTGAAGATAGGATTTTCCATTAACGTTTTCAAAGCAGACTGTGTAGTACGCAGCTGGTCGTTTAGCTGTTTCACTTTCCTTGAGAGCCAGGTCACAGTGTCGCATGGTGCATAACATCGTGAAGAAGCTCTCACCAACGGCAGAGGCTCCTGTAACAGACGTGTTAACTGCGCTTTTTAATTCACTCTTTTTTTATCTTACAGGAAAACCTATTTATATTTTTCAGTGAGCTCATACCTACATTGAAAAATAATCATCAACATACTAATAGTCCACTGCTGGACATGGGCCTCTACTTAGAAAGGAGGTTTAGGCCTACCTGGCCAGACTTGGTATAAAGTTTGATTCAAGTTTTCCTTATCTTTGCAGTGCTGTTGTCCTGCGTACTTGCTCCCTTAGTCGGCGCTTACAACACCCACGGGATGAATACGGGTGGTGACACTCCGTATTCTTAATCCGTCACCACACTAATGATGAAAAACAGGTTCTGATTTTTTCAGTTACATCTATCGTCATTACGAGTATACCTTTTAATGTTAAGTGTTATCTGAGGTATTTTTTTGGTATTGTAGAATAGTTTAAGAGCCATCTATAGACGCCGATCTCATGTAACCGATGAAGGTACGTCTTAATCATTTCTAACTGTAAACAATATTGAATGAGGATTTTTATTTTCTATGCTTTATAACCATAGATCAAAAAGATTATAGCTGCACTCTCCTACTAAAATATGTCCAAATAGAGTCGATTGTTTTATTTGCAATTAACTTTTGTTTAAGTCAAACTACAATTGCTTAGAAATTAAAAAAAAATTAAAGTATTAAATCTTCTTAATATATCCTACTTTCAAAACATGATAATTTACGCTTACCTTGCATTTTTCAAGTTTGCCTAACTTTACCATAAATAAAAAAATAATAATGGGTATTTACTGGTGGTATTGTGATAGAAACTCGTCTCTCACAGTTCTTCCCATTTCTAGCGAGGAACGAAGGCGGTGAACACTCGCAGTGGTAGCCGCCAGGGTCGTTCACACAATGCTGCTCACAACCACCGTTGTCAGAAGCGCATTCGTCAACATCTGAGAATCATAGATTTGTTAGGTGGAGAGAGATGTACGAAGACCAGAATGCTAATTCTCGTAACAAAAATTCGGCCAAAATATATGTATGTATGCTTCATTATGATCAAAGCCATTAATATCAAACATAAAATGAAGATGTCCGGAACTACGCCACAATAACACGCTGTGCGTCCTTAAATTCATCTTGACATTTCGGTGACACTAGGTGTAGGAAAATTACTAAAATTTAAAACGCCGGTTTATAAGTTTTAAGTATACATCGGATTTTTGTATGTTTTTCAGTAATAAGCTTGTTTATTTTGCTTGCTAGTGAATACAGAGATGCTTACCGACGCAATACGGTTGAGTTTTCCTGCGGTAGTTATCTGAATGGAACTGGTACCCACTGTGGCAAGTGCACCAGACCTTCTCGCCTCTCACCTCGCAAGCTTGCTCACACAGCTGCAAACTGCACGGGTCCACGGATTTCGGTATGCACCTGTGTTACAAATGTATTCTAATTAGTATTTAAACATACTGTGCGAAACTGTTGTTCCATTCAAAACGTGCTATATAGACTCCATAAGAATGAGATACTGAGATCTGTGAAGTTATAATTTTCTCAACAATGGATTGAATAATTCCAAAATTAAATTATGTTCATATGTTTGATAAAAGTTCTGCACCTATAAAAAATTACTCTGACCTAACTTTTAGTTAGGTCAGAGTAATTTTTTAAAATAGGTATTGGTAAATGTTTATTTATTGCCGGCTAGTATCCACGACTTCGTTCGCTTGGAATTTGAAAAGCGCTGCCTTAGCGGTGTAGTACTAAAAGCGACTGCAATCTATAAGGTCCCGAGTTTGATTCCTGGACCGGGATCACAGTTATCTGGTAGTAAAATACAATCAAAATCGGTCCAGCCGTTTTGAAGATTACCCGGAACACCTAGACAGACAGACTGGAACCGCAGGTTCCAGCTACATACAATAAGTATATAAAAATGATATTACTTTGCGTGATGACCGTATAGATTTAAAAACTTAAAAAGTTCTTCAAAGATTTAGCTCTTACACGATATACCCAATTCAAAGATTGTTTTTCATGTTAGTTTTGTTCCTAATTTCTTATCAATTCAAAGAAATTGTACCTCAACGAAACAAAACAGTGGCACTCCAGGAGTCCTGAAAGAAGTGAAAACTTGAAAATTTTTTTTTTTTGAATATGTATCTATGTTGTACGTATATACACAATATGTGTTTATATTATTTATAGTTATATTAACAATGTATTTCAACCCAAACTCAACTCTCGTGTAAACGGGGCCAATATATGTAGTACTTATATACAGAGGTGTCGGTAGCGGTAACAATGTCGCGAGTTTAATGGTTTTTTCTCATCTCAAAAAATAGATCCTCTAGTTTGTTGTTCAAAAATGCCCAACGCTCCTTAAGAAGCTTTCACTTCCGTCAAATCAGAAATAGATTTATTTTCAACAATCACTTTAATTTGTGTCAAAAACACCTAACACACAAGTTGTTGAAAACACTTTCAAATGGTTTCTATATTCACATATTCTCAAATGTCAAAGTTTTCATTAGCTCGTTAATCATCAGTGAATTAGGTCATTAGGCGAACAACGTGCGTAGATGCTTCATCAATCGTCGCGAATACTACATTATAAACAGATTGATTGAGCTTAGCGGCGTTTCCTCATTCCGATGTTCGACGTGACTGACGGATAAAGTAACCCTGCCCCCTTCACTATATATTACACACACTGAATGTAAATGTAGGTATGGTTGATAAGCATTCTGCAAAAGGTTTTCTGACAGTATTGTTGTGAAAATAAAGAAATAGGTTGGAAATGACCTCGTCTTGTCAGCGCTGATAATATTTTATACTTAGTTACTAGGACTGACGGTTGTCAAGCTTTACTTCTAGACCAGGCAATTTCTTGTCCACTTTTTATTACACGCTTTATATTAGCTTCATTTGTATGTTTGTATGTTTGTTTGTAACTGACTCCTTTGGGCGTGATTTTGACTGACTTTAAACGGTCAGAATTCGTTCAAACTTTGTAGATATATCGAGGACCGATGACAATACACTAATTTAAAAAAAAAAATAGTTTTACTTTAATTTGAAAAAAAGCGTGGGGTGCTTTTTACTATTGACAACGGGCAACCAACGCTTTTTTTCAAATTTATTAAAATTTATTTTCTATTTTTTAGTTTGGTTTTCTATAAAAAACGTGTTTTTATTATATCGAATATTGTTTTGTTATCAAGATACTTCGTTGTTGTTTATGGTTGTAATGCTACATTTTACATGTAACAGAACTTATTACGTTGTGATACAAACCTTAAAGTCTAAGTATATTTTAACAGAAAATTAGACGAGTTTTATTGGTAAAATGATCAGCATAAATTATATTGTACTAGCCTTTTCCTGCGGCTGCTGCTGCTTAATTTTTAAAATCGGTTTATTGGTATGAAAGCGAACAGTGTAAGCTTTCGCCCGCGTGTATTTCGGTAATCGTGATCCTTTTTCTCTTCCATAAAAACATTGGTTAGTTGAGCAGGGGTTGCTTACATGGATGAATCGGGGAGTATGAGCACGAATAAATCAGGATAACTCGAAGCAAGGAAAACGTGTCACTCTCGTGTAACTCTGTTCTTTGAAAATATTTGAATACTCCTTACCTTCCAGCGTAGTGGACATGTGTGTCGCAACAGCGCAATTTGATGCATTCTATGTCAGCACCGCCGACTCTGCAGGTACCTCTCGTGCGCAGGAGTCGCTCTGTAGGACACGGGGAATTACCGTCTAAACTGAAAAATAAAATATTCATAATCCATTAATCCATAATCACATCAACAGCATTTTAAAGACCCCTGATGTACATAGGCATCCCCTTAAACGGACGGTCAGACGGGTTGGCAAAGGGTTTGTGTCAAGTTTTCTTCTCTTTACGACACCCACGGGATGAATAGGGGCAGTGACACTCCGTATTCTTAATCCGTCACCACACGGAGTAATAATATTTATTTATTTTTATTTTTACACTTCCTGCATTACAGTTTGCACGAGGCGGACTTAATGCCACATGGCATTATCTACCAGTCAACCTTAAGATGGTTCAGTAAGGGGCATGGCAGGTGCACATGTATTATGTAATAAGAAGAGAAGTTATGAAAAATATAACATTAATTTGATAATACTATTTAAAATAGATAGACGAATACATAGATAACATAGATAACTATTAATATATTATACATACGGAATATAATAAATACAATAAAGTTTGGGTGACGATATCATGAGGATATTTCTGCTAGCTGTTTCCAGAGCTGTGTGCTGTAGAATTCTCGGACTTTAGCTTTGAACGTGTCACGACTTCCTGACATCCTGATCTCAAGCGGGAGCGCATTCCATAGTAGGATAGACTGGACAGCAAATGAAGAATGAACAAGAGAAGAAGTGTGGATTGGATTCAAGAGTAAAAGATTATTAGTGGACCGAAGATCTCTGTCATGGTTGGAGCATAGCGGTTTAAGCTGTGAAGTGAAATAAGTGGGAGCTGTAGGATTATTAAGAAGAGAATAAAGGGTAGTCAAGGCGTGCAAGCTACGGCGCTGACGTATAGGTAACCATGACAGCTGGGATCGATAGGCAGACACATGGTCATACTTGCGGAGGTTGAAGATGAATCGAATGTAATTATTGAGAAGTCGATCAAGTTTGTTGAGTAGATCTGCATTCAGGTCGAGATAGCATACATCACCATAATCGATGATTGGAAAGATCAAAGCCTGTACAAGCATTAAATTAGTAGTATGTGGAAGAAAGTTCTTTAGCCGATACAGTGATCGCAAGGTTCCAGTGACTTTTTGACTTACGTTTGCAACCTGCTGTTGCCAAGTGAGGCTGGAGTCAATCCATAAGCCAAGATCTTTGACAAATGTACTAATGGAATGAATATCTTTTTTTATAACTTTCTTAAGTAAAAGCTAATTCTTTTATTTAAGGTGGGCCACGCGTTTATGACTCCTACAGATAGTAAGTAGACTTTAGAGGAAAAATTGTACCATTAATAATTTAATACACCTTTTTTTATCCCGCTCAACACAATAATCTATCATGGATATTTAGCTGCTTTCTTGTCTGAATCATGTCCGATTAATGTTTATGTTAATACACCTAAAGAAATTGCCTTAAAAGAATTGTTTTGAAAGGCAATTCTTTCCGTAGATATTCTAATAAAACTTTAGGTGTATTTGTGTGTGTTTGTGTATATTGTTCAGATTTTTAAATGTCAGTAACCTTCGGAATATATCGTACTATATGTCGAAAAAAATTGTTCATCAATGGTTAGAATTCGCAAGAACAACCAATGCATATCTAACTCTTTAGAGTTGCAAACTTCCAAGAGATAACGGCTTTCTAAGAAGCGTCCAATATTATAAACATTAAACATATTCCCATAAGGCTCACGTGTCATTTAAGAGAGCTTCAGTGGCGAAGCAACATATGATTTATATCCCTTAATGTAGATCACTCGTTAGCTATTTGTTTAACTGATCTAGACCGATAGGAGATCTAATTGGGGCAATGCACAATGTAACACTACAAGTCAAATAAATACTTGTTTGTGGCCTAGAATAGGATGGTGCAATTAAAATTGTTAGATCACTAACTGATAAATGACAAGCCCAAGTGCGAGTTTATTTCACATGTACTCGATCGTCACGGTGAGCGCGTTCGGGGCCGCGATTGGCCCTCGCTGAAATCTGCACCAATCGCAACGCTAAACGCGCTCGCCGTCGAGAGCGAGTCGATGCAAAATAAACTTGCACTAGGCCCTCTCAAGACAATTCTAGTCCAAGATCAGCCGATCAGTAGTCCAAGAGCTAGTGATCGGCAAACTTACAGTATTGTAACTAACTGCATATGGATGCTAGATACTATTAGACCTACCGTAGTTAAAACGGGGAATCCCTATCCCCAGCGATTGTTCCTTTGGGCGTGTTCCAGAAGTCCAAGAACGTCAAAATTTATCGTTTAAAATATAATGGCATCTTGTCTGTCGTTTTATATCCTAAAGTATATAATTTTTGTTATTAAAAAAATCAATGGTAGACACTTATTGAGTTACAAGCATGTTTTTTAAGTTTCCGAAAATTTTATAAACATTTGCGTTATTTTAGCAAAGCTAAAATTTATACATTTTTTACCCTATTGTTATACGTAGGTACATATAAACCCAACTAAGGGAGCATACTACTCAGGACAATAGCACTGCAAAGAGAAGTAAAACTTGAAACAAAGCCTATCCCAACCCGTCTGGGCAGCAGGCCTATGTCTAGCAGTGGAAATAGTCCTATAGTAGAGGCTGTTGTTGATTGATGATGATGATGATGATAATGTAGTTAGGTACATATTTCAAGAATCACACTTTTATAAGTACGACAGAGAGAATATTACATCGTCTACTCTCATGTTGGAACTGACCTATGTATGTGTTTGCTTCACACATCACAAACTACTCAGTTTTTTACACCTATCACCTTGCGAACCTTACCCAACTTCTAAAAGCTCTAATGACCTCACTCCCCAGCAGAAGTAAAACAGTAAAGTCGTACCTACTCATTTAATGCAGTTGTCTGGGAAGTATCAATTAGATACGTCACACTGTATTATTGCGTTATACTTCTTTTTATTTTTATGGTAAAATAGGGCAACTACCGCTGCCCATGGCAAATCAAAAGTCACAAGTCCCTTGGCGTCCCTCCCGCTTGAGTCAGCGGGAGGGGGATTCGGGCTCCGTTAACCTCACTCACTCAATAAAAGGCAACGAAAGAATTGCTTAACACCGACTTTCTTACCGACCTTTTATCGATCTCTAACGTATGTACTAGACTTCCTAACTAAAGCGTTTCAAAAAAGTAAATAGTCAACGTGGTTTATCTTATCGCCTTCTGTGCAGTCATTTTTTGTTTTTGTTTAAAAGACAACTCCCGCACTAGGAGTCCTGTGTTGCAGGGGATTTTACAAGCATACCAGAAACGGACACAAAGAACATCCAGACTTAGAACAACAATTTGTGGGTCACACAGTGTTTTTCTATGTGGGGTGTCGATAGAAGTGATAACTTGAACAATTACATGTGATTCTTTTTCGATTTGAAAAGTTCCGAATTGTTGTTGTTCAAAAGTTGAATATATATCTATGTGGTACATATATACACAATATATGTTTATATTAAATATAGTTATATTATCAATGTATTGCAACCCATTGCATTGAATATGTATCAAAAAAATTAAGTTTTTTGTTAAACCATAAAATATATTCTTTTGGTTGTGGTTCAAAAATGCCCAACGCGCCTTCAGGAGTTTTCATAAAGTTTGTGCGCTGCTTGTACGGATCAGCTGCATTATTACTAATTGTTTACGATAGTTAGTGAGTCATTGCAGTGGAATGCAGTCTACTGACCATCTGGCATCTAATGCAATTATCTACCCGAGTATGTATGTATGACTCCGATCAACCGAAGTAATATCAGGGCCTCACGGAAAACCAGTGCTAAGCAAATTTTTGAAGTGTAAACTTCTTAAGGCAAGTTGGACATTTTTGCAAAACAGACAAAAGAATGTATTTTTGAGATGGGGAAAAAACCATTGAACTCGCGACACTGTTACCGTTGCTGACACCTCTGTATATAAGTTTCTACATATATTGGCCCGTTTAAACGAGAGTTGAGTTTAGGTTGAAATACATTGATAATGTAACTATTTACAATTAAAACATGTTTTTTAAAACGTGTAATAATAAGAAAAAAAAGTTTTCAAGTTTTCACTTCTGTCGGCACTCCCGGAGTCCCACTGTTATTTTTTTGGTTGCTTTTCAGAGTAGGATTACGGTTACCCGAAGCCCAAGCAGTAAGCCCCCCTTAATTCTATTGCGAGAGTACTCAAACGTGTGAAAGTTGATTACCATCAGATGACTCGTCTGTATTGCCCCTTTTAAACTAACGTAACTTTTTTTCACGATCTCTTTTTTCGTATATTATTACCAAACCAGGTTATGTTTCGTGGTCGGGTTTAAGTCTACTACGATACGGCAGAACTGCGGACTGCCATCAGACCTACACTAACCAAGTACTAGGCGATGTCGAAGTTCTGTAGAAAGACTAATGTCAGACTGTTAGGGCTCAAAACTGCTCGTAACGATTGCTACAGATGTTCATATGGCAGTAACTTTTTTTACGATATTAGGGTAATTTAGCAGACGAATCGCTTTATAGAAAATGTCTTCTGTCTTGGACGCCTGCAACTTGGAAGTCACAAGTACAAAGGTTTGAAGGCAATATCGCAGGTGACAATTTGTTTCGTAGAGACTTGAATGAACTATGAATGAACATTTACATTATAAATCACCGAATCTTATCAGGAGTTTTGCTTTCGGAGCGCACTCTGAATGTGGCATTGTAATCCAGGATGAACATTGTCCAGAATAGTGATGTCAGAAACTTATAAACGATTGATAATGTGTACTAATAGTGTTGGGCAATCAAGGGCTTCCTTCGCTAGAAGGAACTGAAGATAGTGGGGAAATACTTCGCTTACTTAGAAGTACAAAGCGCGTGGAAGCTTCTCTAACTACCTAGAATAGATGTTGTTCGAATTACGAAAGCCTTTTTTTTGTTGACGGGGTGGAAAAGCATTACAGCTTCACAGAAAGAGACCACTGAGCCCCATGAATAACAAAAGCCCAATAAGTAATTTCGGAATAGTAGAAGAATAATGTACAGAATAAAGATATTATTAATTATAATACTAATGTTATAGTATATAAGCCTAACTTGCTGCCTAATTACGTAAGACTGTTTTTTTTACTTCTCTTGCAAATTAAAATAACTATCGTCACATTTTTCATCATTCTGTCATGACTTCCTTCGTTTTATTTCTGCTGATTACTAGGATAGCATAAATTTAAACACGTTTATATGATTTACTGTTTGTCATACGTTCAGTATTTTAGTTTATAGGACGTATATTTTTGGAATTATGACATTATGCACAGAGCACGGCAACATCACACACTCGGCCAAGGCATTAGATATAAAGTATGCATTAAGTAGGGTTGCCACCAATTCTGTCAGAAATTATATGGTACCGTATTTAAATCAACTTTATAATGATTCATTATTTTATACTTTCCTCGCAACATTTGTACTGTGATAGTAAAACGTATTCTCGGTATTTCTCTACTTGCTTTTAATCTATTGTCCTAACATCGAAAACTAGTTTTCATTCGTGTTAATGTTACATTTCCATTCTTCACAAACAGTTTTTTGTTAAAAGTATCTTATATCCCTTTTGTTTCCTTGATATAGGTACCGGCACCAATCTTGAGCCTGTCCTTCACCTGCGCAGAAGTCGATTTTTGGGTCCCTTTGGTGGTGTGAAGTAGGACAATGGGGGGGGGGGGGGACATTAGGGGGCAATTAAATCATAACGTCGGCCAGTGATTGGCTCACCGATTTTGTCGCTGCTCATGATTCGTTATCTTGTACTTAACTTCCATGAATACACTTACACAATTAAATTTTCTCGCAGTTAAAATATTGAGATTTTTATATGAGTGTATGCATAGCGTAATGTATTCCCTAATATGTACCTATAACACAATACAAGGATGAATGAAGACTATGAAAAAATGTCCACTGTACCCGAACCATTTTTTTATAAGAAAGTGATTTGATGGAAATTGTGACACCTCACACCTATTTCACCGTAAAATTTTAATAGGGAAAATATTTGTTAGACAAAAATAAATATCTAGGCGTTCTTTATTAAAATTTTATTTAAAACCATTTTATCTTCTCATAGAATCAATAAGAAGTTACGTAGTAACTTTACTACGTAACGTCTTGTGGTTTTGATCTATTTTTATTGCAACTAAGAAAAAGTAAATAATAATAAATGATTGATGAATGAATGAAATTTTGCCATAAGCGCACGACACGCAAAGCGATCCCCAATCTGCCGCCGAGCGCTCAAGATCCGCGCCGGTAACTGTAGTTACGTAACTATCTTTGTAACATATCTTTGTGTATAGAAAATATCGTGATGATCATTTGAACTACTCAAGTAGTGAAGGAGTGAAGGCATTGAGTAAGTGTTTTAAAGTCTACACTTCGCTAAAGTAGAAAAAAAAACTACTTTTAGACGGTCGTTCGGCTTGACGAAATCTACATTAACACTAGCAAAGCGAAACATCTGGTTCCTGAATTGAATAAAGTACTATTATTACTTATATTATATTATTTTGGCCATTTTTTCAAGAACTATTTGCTAGCAAAAACAACGGTGACAACCCTGGCATTAAAACACAAAAAATAGTTACGTAGGGAACATAATTTCGTGACATTGGATAATAATAAAAGGCGTCCCAATTTCCTAGATCGTCATAATTATTAATGTAAGTAATTTTATTATATTAATAAAAATGACATATTTTAACCGAGTTATTTTAGTCATAGTAGCACTAGATGTTGATGATTGTTTAGATGTTGTTTAAAAAGACAACTCCCGCATTAGGAATAAATCCTGTGTAGCGGGGAACTTTACAAACATACATGAAACGGACACAAAGAACACCCAGACTCAGAACAACAATTTGTGGATCACACAAAGTGTCGTCCCATGTGGGGTTTGAACCCACAACAGTCGGCGTAGTAGGAAGTGGCGTGGCGACCGCTTAAACCACTACGCCATCCGTGCAGTCATCCGTGCACTATATACTATACCTTCGTACAAAGGTATAAAGGACGTTACATGGTAATATTATGTCATGGACAACATTTCAATGTCTGGGAGAGTAAGGAAGACTATCTGGATATTGAAGTCACTACGACCCAGTGCTGACAAGGACACTATTATAATGGTGTATAAAGCGTTGACTCCATCACTACTGTACTATTGTGTTCTAGCTTGGGGAGGAGCGGTAAAATCTAAAATGATCGAACTCGAAAGACCCCAACGCACAGTTTTGAAAGTGATGCTCAAAAAACCACAACCTCGCTTAACTACAGATGACCTGTATAGGGAATGTAAAGTACTCAGAGTTCGACAGATTTTTATTCTAAAAGCTAGCATGACAAAACACAAGTTGGTCATTAACTCTCCAGAACACCTCCCTCTCACTAGCCGTCGTATTTACCAGATACCAGTTCCTAATATGAAGACAACTTTTATAAGCTTTACCTATCTTTCTTCTTCCGCCCATCTACAATCAGGTGTGTAGAAAATTACCACAAATCATAAACCTACCAACAAGAAAAATCGAACCTATCATAGAGAACTGGCTTGTGAACCTCACTATCAGGACACAGAAAATCTAATTCAAACTGTCAGCTGATCCTCCCCCTCCCCTTTATCTTCAATTCCCACAAATCACATGGTAAATCACATAAACTTTTTACACTACTACATTAAATCATTCACGTAGCACACACTTACAAACAAATTAGTTATGTATTTATATTCCTTAAAAACATTAAAATCCGTAAGATCTGATCTTGTCTTGGAATAAATATGTTATTATATTCTACATAACATAATGATATAGTATCCATTGTACCTGCTGAGCCGAAACTGAACTATGAAACTGTATGACAAATGTATCTTTGGCCTCTGCGATACAAGCCTCGAGCACAGCACTAACTGTGGCCGTTGTAAAACCTCTTGTATCACATACCTTTTTGAAATAAATATATTCTTATTCTTATTAAAATTGCTCATTAGCAGTTTTATTTCCATGAAGAAGGGTATTTTATGTGCAGGGAAATCATGTAATCACTCTCGCGGGTCCACCCTGGTGTTCTACTGATGGGCATCTCTTTTTTACTGCATGGATAACGTAGTGGTTTGTGAGGTCGCCACGCCTATTACGATGAGTGCTGTGGTTGTGGGCTCGATCCCCACACGGGACAACACTTTGTGTAATCCGCAAATTGTAATCATCAACCTTCGTCCATGGGCATCTGCAACTCAAGAGTCACGTAGTGCCTCGTCGTCATCCCTCCCCGGAATCAGAGGAGTTACTAAAATAACTTTGACATCTATCTTTGAATTTAGATTTAAATTGAGAATCAATGTCATTCACGAGCGTGGGATGCAGACAGCACAGTTTCGTTGCATACCAGTATCAAAAAGAACGACACACAACGCATCTTAACTTAAACGTTTTAGTACACTACTGAGTACATACAACACTTAAAACTAATGCACGTACTTTAGTCGTGATCTGTTTACCGAGAATTATTCTTTCATAGGCCCTCATTCCCAGAACACATCAGAGAAATTCTTACACCTAACTATTTATATCGCAGATGCAATATGAGTTTTAATACTAACTAAATGGGCAGTTTTGAAATGATATATATACACTTCACAAAGCGCGCCTGCAAAAAGTAAAGTGTGTACAAGTACGAATGTAAAGAGTATTGTGTATTTTCGAAGATACAAAAGTATTTCTACTGATTCTAGACATCCGTCTATCAGGACTCTCTCGTAAACTTCTCGTAAGCCCTCACCAGATAATTTGTGACGTACAAAATGTACCTAATTTATCGAGAGTGAGTCCACAGCTTTATGATGCAACGTACTTCATTTGGATGCAGTCGTTGAACTCACGTACTGATTTTTGTACGATGCAACTGATTAGTAATATTCATACGGTATATACGATATTGCTCATTCATTGAAGACTTAACAGCGAATAGGCTACTCAATATTAGTATTTATAAAATGAAACCGTTTGATAGGCATTCCATTGAATAACTTTATCAGAAAGCAGCTGTTGTACACTATATAATGTGTATACTCAAATTTTTTTAAATTATTTATAATATTTTTACCGTAATAAAAAAATTACAGGACGATGTCAGCGCCAGATACATAAAATACACAAGTAAAGCATTTCGGTGAGCTTTTATAGAATGCCACTTCCGCTACGATTGATATGAAAATTATAATCACTGATAATTACATAAATATTAAAAAAAAAAACTAGAAAAGTCATTGAAATCACTCACACATCTAAAGCATCATCGTGGTACCCGTCTTCAGCTTGATATCCTCTCTCGTCCTGATGGCAGAGTACCAGGGCACCAGGGGAGCACAGAAGTAATGCGGCGTAGGCCGCGGCTGCTAGCGGCGCGCGCATCACGACTGTGGGTGCGCGCGCGCGGTTATGCGTTCGAACAGTGATATCCAAAGTTATACTTGTGTGATGTTGAATGATATAATACAACCTATTACGTCATTTCCACTACATCTTCACTAATAAAAGTTTATTTCATTACAATAATTAAGTACGATTTTCACAAGTCGTAGACAATAAATTTGACAGAAACTGAAAATTTTAAAACTAAAAGTAGCTAACTTTTTCTAGCGGGTTCGCTCGCATAACGTAATTTATCAAAAAGTACCTAATGTATTTCATTGTATCCCTGGGTTTCACGATGATCGCATGAATGGTACATTTTATACACTGCCATGTTTATATTATAATATAAATGTAAGAGGAGATCCGCAGGAGAACAAAGGTGGTTGACATAGCCCAACGGATTAGCGCGCTCAAGTGGCAATGGGCAGGGCACATAGCAAGGAGAACTGACGGCCGATGGGGCAGCAAGGTTCTCCAATGGAGACCACGTACTGGAAAGGGCAGTGTGGGACGACCGCTTACCCGATGGACGGACGACCTGGTAAAGGTTGCCGGAAACCGTTGGATGCAGGCCACAATCAACCTTCCCCGCTGGAAATCATTGGGAGAGGCCTATGTCCAGCAGTGGACAAGCATAGGCTGAGGTATAAATAAATGTAAAAGTGAGTTTGTTTGTTCCGCTTTCACGCCTAAACCACTAAACCGATTTTAAAAATTCATTCACAAATGTAAAGCTACATTATCAGCAAGTAAAATAGGCTACTTTAACCAACATGAACGCATGCGGAGCCGCGGGCAAAAGCTGGTTTAATAATAATAAAAAGAGATAAAAGCTTTTTAAGTTAAACGGTTTTATTGAAACGAACAATAACCTTTTTTTTTTTAATTAGAAAAGACAACTCCCGCATTAGGAATATATCCTGTGTCGCGGGGGACTTTACAAACATACATGAAACGGACACAAAGAACACCCAGACTCAGAGCGACAATTTGTGGATCACACAAAGTGTCGTCCCATGTGGCGATCGGACCCACAACACTCAACGTAGTAGTAAGCGGCGTGGCGGCTTAAACCACAACGCCATCCGTGCAGTCCCATTGGTCGGCTCTTACGACACCCATTGGATGAATAGGGGTGGTGACATTCCGTATTCTTGATCCGTCACCACACGGATTCGAAATTGAGTGTAAGTAGTGCTTATACATGATATGACCGGTTAACTGTTGGTAGAAATTTCTCGAGCTAAACGATTTTATCCGAGGGGTTCGTGGCTGTGGTGTAACCACGTAGTAGTATAACACATTTCCAAAGCTAAGCAATCCTAGCCAGGTCAGTCTATGGATAGGTGACCGTTCGCTAGGAGGGAATCGAGTCCCGCCTGCCACCACTGCGACTGCAGTGAGGATTCGGCCCAGCACACGCTGGCGGTTTGCCCCGCATGGGCGGCGCAGCGCCGGGCCCTCACTGCAGTCATCGGAGTAGATCTCTCGCTACCGGCCGTAATTCGCTCCATGGCCGGTAGCGACAGTTGTTTTACCGCGGTCGCAACCTTCTGCGAGGAGGTAATCTCGCAGAAGGAGGCGGCGGAGAAGGCCCGGGAGGACGACCTCCACTCGGACCTGATCCGCCGCCGGCGAACCGGGCGGCGGAGGCGCGCTTACCTGCGCCTCATGCCGCAGTGAGTGTGGCCGCGGGTGGACGGGATGGGTTCTCCCCTCCACCCGCACTAGTTGGCCAGCCGCGAGGGGGCGGCGTCCGCGTGTGCCGGACGTCGCCTAAAGAGAGGAAAGATCAGAGACGGAGCCCGCAACAGGAGCGGGCCGGCGCTGGGAGGGGTCCAGAAGGCGATAACTACCTGGACCCCTCCTAAACTGGAAGCGCAAAGAGGGCACACCGTGTGGTTTTAGTCGGTTCGAGTCCGACACACCGCCCCGCCGAACGAGAGCCCCGGCGGGGTGACGGTCCGAGGGGATTTCCACAGGTAAAAAAAAAAAAAAAATGGATTGGTGACCGTTGAGGCTCCTGCGTGCCTCGGAGAGCACGGTAATCAGACGGTCCCGGTTGCCATACGAACATAAGTGGCAATCGTTACGAGTAGTTGGGGCCCTAAAAACCCAACAACAACAATCTTTCTACAGAACTTATAGGCTAGTAGTTCGGTTATGGAGGTCTCAAGGCAGTCTTGGTAAAAAATCGAACTTCAATTGTATCGAACTTTACTTAGAGCCGACCCCACCCTACCTTAGGAAAAGGGCTCTAAGGAAGGAGGAAGAAGAAGAAATTTACATAGCTAAATTCCTTAAACTTGTTATTTAGTAATAACTACTATAGTTACTAGAGTACAAGTGGGTACTCCCAACTGGTAATATACAGGAATGAGCAATATGTAGCCAAGAGATAGAAATTCTTTTAAAAGTGTCTTGGGCATTTCTTGGGCTTAAGTATTTGTGTGTGTTTTTCTTTAAAGAAGAAAAGATTGCAAGTCGCAGTTCTAGAAATAGTGGTCAGAAGAGAGCAAATGTAAAAAAAGACTGTTAAAGATTAAACTAACAATTTCTTGAAAATCTTTACTTGGCAAAAATATATCTTAATCACCTTAAAATTAAGTTTAGTTGTAATAAAACATTTAAAAATGAATTATTTCTCATATTTATTTGCAACAAAAAGTAGAACAGAAAAACAAAGCAAATCTTAATGAACCTTAAAAACTGAAAAATTTTAAGTGTAGAGACATAGCATCAATAAAAACAGTAAAGACTTCATAGAAACTTTGTTTAAATAAACTCACAAATTTACAATAGAAAAGATAAAAAATAAGTGGCTAAAAAAAAAATTTTTTGCTCCCTTTAAGACTTAGCTCCGTTCATAATTTCGTTACGAATTCAGACAAGATATTAAAAATAGCCTAAGATTGTTTCAGTGTTTCGTAGATCTTGACACAACTGTCGATTTTAATTAATATCTTACGTTCAGTGAGACATCGAATCGTCGAAGTAAGAACTTATACATAAAAAGACAAAATCCACACCTCTCTGGAAAATCTCAAACATTCTGAAATATTCAAACTTTGTCTAGACTACCGTAACATTATATTTGTCAGCTGCAGCAGTGGATTGATTTATGAACTGAATATTCAATACCTTTACTACGATGTTGAAAATTTGGTTATTAATTAGTCTTAATCTTTGAGAGCCGCAGCCAATGGATAGTCCTAAAATAAACGCGGGCGTGTAGGGTAGATATAAAAGATGCCGATATTTTAGGCTTCATGGACGAGATAGGATGACCAAAATTCTTCATGGAATTATGTGTGTTCCGGGTTGCTATTTTATCCATAAAGTTACTTTTTATTCAATTAAGAACATGAGTAAACATCTAATAGTAGCTTAAGTCAATAACTTATTTAATTACTAATAATTAACAAAACTAGCATCAAGGTCTGCATTTGTGTTAAATTTTAATCCTAAAATATACTGCTACGATTGCCCATTCATCAATAAAAATCAGAATTTGATGCCTTGTTATGGATAGTGGCAAACGAGCATCACCTGATGGTTAGTGACCACCACTAACGACAGAATCAGCAGGGGTGAGCCTACGGTAACCATACTCACTTAACACCAGTTTTCTGTGATACCGTGGTATCTCGTGTACTCTGTTTGAGCTGGTCCATGCGTACCGCAGCATGGCTCTCCCACGGTAAAATATGCTTCCCTATTTTTTGATGTGAAACGTCTAATGCGAAGGGTCAGACCGGCTGTTGGCATGCGCCGTCACGCTATTTAGATGTGATAATATATGTAACATACTGCGCTGGGTTCCATCGCCACATAGAACAACAGTTTGTGTGATCCACATATTGTTGTTTTGAGTCTGGGTGTTCTTTGTGTCCGTTTTATGTATGTTTGTAAAGTCCCCGACACAGGATTTATTCCTTTCTTTTTATGAAAAAAAAATGTAATACGGTGTGGCGACGCGTCGCCATGCGCAAGTGACTTTGCTGCTCTCTCCCACTCGGCTTATTATTTCTACGAGCAAACTAGTCTCCTGATGGAAAGTAACCACAGCACAAAAATTACACAAATAAGGTTAATAGTATAAAAAAGAATCTTTATATAGCACGTTTTTAGTTTAGTTACAGCATGAACACATTAGTTTATCGGTAAGTGTTTATTTACTGAAATGTGTTGCGCTCGCGCAGACGCTTCATGGTCATGCTCTATCGCTCCACTGACACACTGCCGCCTATTGTTGAGCAACACCTATGTTTATTTATAATATCCTAGTACTAGATTTCGATCGCTATTAAAGTTTTAATAGGTGTTATTTAATTGAATAAACTGATAAAACATGTTTAAATATATTGTAAACTGTAAGAAATTGTAAAAAACATGGCTTTACGAAGTCTATTTGTGAAATTTACGGTTAGGTACATGTTTTCATGTACAAGTGATCTAATGAACAAGTAAGTCATCATCATCATCATCATCAACAGCCTTTAACAGTCCAGTCCTGGACATAGGCCTCTCCTTAGAAAGGCGGTTTTGGCCTAAAATACCACGCTGGCCAGACGGGTTGATATACGGTTTGTGTCAAGTTTTCCTTCTCTTTGCAGTGTTATTGTCCTGCGCAGTTTGCTCCCTTAGTCGGCTCTTACAACACCTACGGGATAAAGGGGGTGGTGACAATCCGTATTCTTAATCCGTCACCACACGACCTATTTAATATTATACTTGTACAATTAAGTAAGTTTGTTTTGTTGATTGAATTATATAAAGAATAGACCCTTGCTGAAGACATACAAGTGGGTTGAAAAGTAAACTTGATTAATTTTTGCTTTCAAGGTGCCACCTATCTTTCAATACATTTAATAGTCATAAAGAGTGTCGTCACTTTAGGTTTGTTAAGTGTTGATATAATATGTGGCCAATGAAATAATTTGAGTCATCATCATCATATCGAAGACCACTAGTGGACATAGGCCTCTCCAATTGCACGCCTTTTAGATCGATAATAAAAATAATTGGTGCAATGGAAAGAAAATCTAAACCTATTGCCCGCCTGAAAGTATGATTTCGTAACTAAGTATCATTAAAAGACTTTAATAGTCCAATGGACATAGGCTTCTCCTTGGAAAGGAGGTTTTGGCCTACTATACCACGCTGGTCAGACGGGTTGGTAAAGGGATTATTTCACGTTTTCCTTCTCTTTGCAGTGCTGTTGTCCTGCGTAGTTTGCTTCCTCAGTCGTCGCTTACGACACCCCCAGGATGAATAGGGGTGGTAATCCGTCACTACACGGATGCTAAGTATACAGCAGTGGCAAGTTTCGGCGCATATGAGCCGGCTCAACCAGAGTCATACCACGTCCTCACCAGAAACGGGCGTTAAGTGTTTCTTTGGTAGCTTTTCACCGAGTGGGCTAGGGAGCCCTGATTCTTTGGTAGGGCACTCAAAGAGCACCAACGTCACCTACCATCAGGTAACGCGTCAGTTAGATTGTCCTCTATACCAGAAACTTCACTCCGAACTTTCACTCTCTGTCTGTCTGTCTCTTTCAAGTTCTGTCGAACGATTTCGCCTTAATCTTCTCTAGATTCATTCTACTGAAAGATTATAAAAACTCGCATTAATTTAGTATCGTGTTTAATTATGACATCAAACATAAACGTATGACGTATGTCTTTTCTATTTTAAGATGACTTTCGCTGATCTAAAATCCGTATTCTTATCGATTCTTTGACTCGGTGTTTTTTTATTAACTATTGCAATATTATTATCTTTTACACGAAGTATTTTAATATACAGATATATTTCTTTAGATTTCCTAATTTCTAAGAATGTTTAATGCGTTTGTGACTCCTGAGTTGCAACGTTCTTGGGCGGCGATGGTCACTTTAAATCATTTTTTTTTATGTTTGATGGGGCAGACAAGCAGACGGGTCACCCGACTGCTCGTCTGCCCCGTCTGCAAAAAAAAAATGGGTTAGTTAAATAGTTTAAATGCTTTTATATTTCTTCTTGCGATTATTGTTTACTGAGCAGTAATAATCGCTGGTACTGATATATCCGTCTATTTTTAAATTCGTTAAAAAAATATATTTTAAAAGCTAAATGCATTACAATGATTCTATCATTTTCGTTTAATATGTGGTTATAATGAACTGTGATTTTACGAACAAAGTGCGTAAACAAATTGCTTACCTACATTATGTTCTGGTTGTAAATAACACATGTTCGTGTTAAAAAAAAACTTACTGACTCATATAACGTATAGTTTTACAAAGAAAAAATGTTGAGCCTCTATCTTGATAAAAGCGTGAAAATTACGTTGAAAGTGAACGAGACAACAGTCCAGTATATGCCGCTGGGGAAAAATCACACTTTTCCTCTCTTATTGTCTGTTCGGACGTTAGTGTTTGTTTGGACACCGAGCTCGCGCGCCCTCACAACCTCCCAAATAAAAAAAACATTTCAAACTGATACAAAAATAATGTTTTATATATTTTTATTAATTAGTTTTTGCCCACATTTTGTATTGTCGTGGTATCCATATAAGAATGAAAATTGGGTACCAGGAGAGTATGGGTATGAAGGAGTACATGATGGTTTGGAGCATTTGAAGAACTTTGTGAATGAGTGGACGGTGGAAGTCGAAGGCGGTGAGGAGGTGGCTCAACTGGTTGCTCTGGAACTTGGATATGCTTTTGGTGGAAAGGTAAGATTTACTTTTATGCGTAACTGTCTGCCATATTTAATGTTTTCGATAGATAGTAAGTTTACTGTGGATTATTTAAAAAAATGATAAAATTTTAATTTACAATTTGAGAACAAATCAATCAAAGTCAATGTACTTTACGATTACTAATTAAATTATTTATTTAACTTTTAAATAAATAAAAGCCGTGACCACATGCAAAAACAGAAATAAATATAACATTGAAAGTTTTGAAACATAGAAACTTTCGCAAACTTAGGAACAGATTGTGGACCATTTAAATATGATGGATTATAAAAGGGCAACCGACAACAAGTTTACTGGTAATGTAATTATTTTAATTACAGACTTTTTCTTATCTTGACAAAGTATTTCTAAGTGCAAACTTGACCTGCAATGTCAAGTTCCCTAGAACTTCTAACGTCAGTTACTTGACGATAATTTTTATTTTATTTGGATCTCCAACAAGAAATACATCTTACATGATAACATTTTATGTTATGCTTCCTCAATTATAGGAGGCCACATTACAAAAATAGTTAATTACAAACAGTGGCCACAAATAGCCTTCGTAGATGAAAAAAGTAATGAAATAATTATAACAATTAATTGTCCAAAAATTAGTAAATCAGTAGTAGGGGTAGTAGTGGGTAGGTAAGGTAATTTTCGTAATCAATATAATAATTTAGAGTGTCTACTCGTAGTATATATGCATCTTTTCGTGATAACCATGAGATACTGAACGGTTTATCCAAGCTTTTTCCAACCAGGATTAAATGAAATAGTTTTCAAACTCTCACTAAATACGTTACGTAAGTATTCATCCATTTTAAATATACAAACATCATTATATTGAAGACTAACATAAGCAGGGGACTGTTTTGTACGTTGGACGGTGTTGCATGTAGGACAAAGATAATTAAATAAATCCTGTTCTTTATAATAATATTATTTAAAGGAAAGCAGGAGATCCGAAGGGATTTTCCACCCCGTCAACAAACAACAAAAAACAAAAAATAAAAGACATCACCGTTTACGCAAAAAATGAAAATTAATGAAAATTTCGACACTGTCAAAGAAATCAAAATTCATAGAGTACTCCCGTTGACCTAGAACTATGAAATTTGGCAAGTAACATGGTCTTATTCTTATACTACAAGTACAGGGAAAAATCTGAAAACTACACGTTTGTGATTTAGTCATTAAAATATAGTCTTTATTTAAAGTACGTAATCAATCATAGAGTTACAATTTCATTTATTAAACAATTTAAGTAATTTTAAGTTCTGGAAACTGAATTTCAGTAAAACTCGGAAAAAGGGGAGACTCGATTCTTGAACTATTTATAATATGTACCTGCTTTGTACGGAACCCTCGGTGGGCGAGTCCGACTCGCACTTGTCCGGATCCTTAAGTAGGTTTTACTACCAGCTATAAAGTTGGAATAGTATATAGATTCCATTCACAAATTTCACCAACGAACCAAAAATTTAATCAAATTTTAACTAACACGCTATGTTGCAAACTAGTAGTATCCATTGCTGTGATAGCACTATTCCAACTTACTATTCCAACTTTATAGCTAGTAGTAAAACCTACTTAAGAATCTGGACAAGAGCACAGGATATGACTTTACACCTGCCGCCCCAATATTTCTCGGGAAAACGTCACCGAGAGTCGAAACAAACTTGTGTCTGAAATTGAAACTTCCTTAGCTAAGGTTTCAGATTGGGACCGACTAAATCTAGTCCAGTTTAACCCAAAAAAATACAGGGCTGTGCGTTCACCGCAAAGAAGATACCATTTGTCGTATCACCTCGGTTTGAGAGCACATCTCTAACTGCCTCAGCCAGCATTGGAATCCTAGGCATCGACATATCGAGCGAAGTCTAGTGTCGGGGTCACTTAGAGAGTAAGGTCAAATTGGCCTCGAAGAAGCTTAGTGTGCTGAACAGATCAAGGCATTATTTCACTCCGGCCCACCGTCTTCAGCTCTATAAGGCGCAAGTCCGACCGCATATGCATTCTCTATCGCATATATCATGGAGAGTGCTCCGAGGAATTGTTCGGACTAATACCAGCCGCAACTTTCTGCCATCGTTCCACACGACAAAATTTTCATCCTCATCACCTGGATAGTTGGCTCAACTACTGTGCGCTTTTCAAGGCACTTTTTGCCTCGCACAACCACTCTGTGGAACGGGCTATCGTCTGCGGTATTTCTGGACCGATACGACCTTCAAACCTACAAGAAAAGAGCGTCATCATCATCATCAACAGCCTTTAATAGTCCACTGCTGGACATAGGCCTCTCCTTGGAAAGGAGGTTTTGGCCTACTATACCACGCTGGCCAGACGGGTTGGTATAGGGTTTGTTTCAAGTTTTCCTTCTCTCGGCAGTGCTGTTTTTCTGCGTAATTTGTTCCCTTAGTCGGCTCTTACGACACCCACGGGATGAATTGGGGTGGTGACACTTTGTATTCTTAATCCGTCACCACACGGACAGAAGAAAAGAGCGTACTGTTCCCTAAAAAGGCCGACAACGCGTTTGTGACAGTTGCAGACGTTCATGGGCGGCGATAGTCACTTTCCATCAGGTGACCCGTTTGCTCGCCTGCCCCTCTAACATAAAAATATTGAAAAAAATTAAAATGTTGAAACAATACAATTAATTAGCACTGGCTTCAACGGAAACAAGGTGACCTTTCATAAAAATATCCCCATTAAACAGATATTTTTACAAGTTTTGTCTAAGAGATAAAATTAACCTGTCAATTCTTATTAGTCTAGAGAAAAGAATAGGGGAGAATAGGGCAATGGTGGTCAGCGGACAATCGTGCTCACGCTCATAATTAAAACACAAACAGTTCTTTACGCGTATTAAGTATGTGACGTCTTGCTTTTCACTGCCCGCAAACGGTGAGCGCCCTGCATCGTCATTCCGCCGAAGTGCTCGTACAAGGTTAATCAAATTTTACGTCGTAACAAATTAACAAGGTAAGCTGTTAAATATTTCTTAATCCATGTAAACACTGTCTTATTATATACAAGTGTTCATCACGATTATGTAGTAATGTTCATTTGGAATCAAAATATGTATTTGTTTGTAAAACTTTTTTTTTCCATGATTCCATTTTTTCCATGGTCAACTGGCCACCACTTCCCGCAATGCCTATATGAGTTTATATGAGTGGTTCTTGCATCAATGTCGCAACTGGTAGTCACATCTATATCTGAAAAAATTGAAATTGAAAATTTTATCACTTTGCGTACCAAAACACTATCTGTCCAGAAAAAGTCGAAAAAAGCAACATTCTAACATTCTGGCCTCCACACCAATTAAAGACAGTCTAAAGGAAAACAAAAAGCAGAACAAGATTAAAGAGAAGAGAATAAAAAAAGGCAAAGAGAAGGTCAAAAAAACCAATGAATACAAGAAAAGCTTAAAAAAGCCAAAGGAAAGTTCTTCACGAAGCTAAATGACTTGACTTGACTTGACTTGAATGATTGACCGACGTAGATGTTATTATTGCGTAGATGATAATGAGGTTCCAGAAAATGATTGTCTTGTATGTGGAGAGTTTGGCCGAAACGACTAGATATGGTACAAGTGCACTTCCTGTGGGCTTTTGGGCTCACTCTCCTTGCACTGGTTGGAATTTAGCTACCGGATACGTATGTGACAGGTTCTAGGAGTATTTGACCATCATTGTCAACATAATGACTACCATGGTCCTCACGTGTGTACAATGGTGGGCTTAGCCATTATTTTTTATATTTGTATCTATTAAATGGATACTCCAGAGATGATTGTTTTGATCTCAAATTATAATAGTCCTTTAATGTAAAATAGCTACGTTATGTTCCTAACAAAGCTATGACTTATATTGTGAGTTTTATTCTAAAAAGTACTCAACTGACCGCCATTGCCCTATTCTCCCTTAATCAATATTCAGTGTTATTCAATGTTCAATTCAATAATTTAGTAATTTGTGCTCGTCAGTTTATTATTAAACTGAAATTCTTTACCGACTTGTTTCTTATCTATAAAATATATTTTTTTATATATTTAACTAGTTTTTACCTGCGTGTATGTCGGTTATCCTATGTTACTCGCTGATAGTGTAATTATAAATTGGTGAAAGAATTTTTAAAATCGGTTTAGTGATTTAGCCGTGAAACCGTAACAAACAAACAAACTCACTTTCGCAATTTATACTGTAAGTATGGATTTACAATAAATAATAAGGTTTAGGCTACCACATCAATTCGCAACAATTTAACGAACTATTAAATATACAAAAACATTATTATCCTTCTAAGAAATGCTAGAAAATACATTGGAGTTAACTTGGTCAAAATTGAAAGACAACTCAAGTGAAGAATCTCTGGGCGGCAATATAAGGTTGGAAGGTTATTCTTTTATAATTTGTTTTTTAATATATTTTTTAAATCTTAGGTTTTAAAGTTGAATGAAAGGTAGGGGTAGTTCTGTAATATAAAGGCATAGAGACAGAGAGAGAGAGAGAGAAAGAAATACACAAAATAAAGTCAAAATTTTCAAATATTTTAGTGTTAAAATCGTCTTTGAAATTATAAACGGTATTTCACATTAAGCCCAGAGATCTGTTTGTCAATTGCATTTATAAAGGATTGTAATTTAAAATATTTCTGATTAAATTTGCTGTCGAAACCTTAAATTGGTGTAACTAACTAAATCGTTTTTTAGCCGTTTTTTTACAAATGATTTAACGATTTTCCAGTAATTGTTTTAGTATATCCTATAACTATTAAGTAGCCATGACAGTAAGTTACATTCCATATTATAAAACTGAATATATCATCATCAAGTTTTTTTTCATAAAAAAAAACCCGCAACACGAATATGCTATGCATGGAATGTCAATTACACAATAGAATTCCAGCTTTGAACTTTTGCAAAAGCATTCCAATAATACTTTGGACAAAGAGTACGATATGTCTACTCTTCAGCTATTATG